GGAGCTGCATTCTGAATAAAGGAGCAGGGACAACTTATAGGGCAAGGTGTGACGTCATGGAGGCATGTTTGGGGAGATCAAGAGCATAGAAAACACCTAAGGCAGCCACTGCTCTTGTACATTGGAGATTAAGGTCGGAAAAAGTCAAGGTCACCTGATTCTCACATAGTAATAAAACACAACTGGAAACACACAACAGAGTGGTCATAGGCTGGACAAAGTTTCTCAAAGCGTGGGCACAGCTAGCTTCAATTCAGAGCAAAGGAGGCAGAATTCTGGTCATAAGGCCCAGACCCTTGTCTTTGTCAGTCTCCCCAAGCATTTTGCATGCAAATTGAAGTTAGACCAGCAGCCCTGAGCTGAGCTCAGTGGGAAGGCCCCCTGCATGAGGTCAGTATTGGTATGGGCTCTTTACAGCCAGGCACCCACTCCTTCGCTGAGCAAAAATTCGTGGCTCTGCCAACAGTGACTGCGCGGCTTACATTTTCCCACTTTCTTATATTCTGTCCCTTGTCCCTAAAAACTTCTCAACATTCAAGCTGTAACTCCCAGATGCTCCCACTACAGTAGCACAAGATTTTTTTTTTTTTTTAATCAGACCAGGCATCCTGATATTTATAACCGTGCACACATGTGATCCATGACATAACACTAGTTTATAACTGGCACATTTGAGTCAATTTCCCCACTGGTCTGAGTATGAATGTAGAGAACAGGAATGGTCTTACAGAGACCATAGACCCCCAAAATGGACTGTTGCCACACATAGGCTAACATGTGTTCCTTCCAAACACTTAACCTTTAATAGCTGTGACATTTTTGAATGGGAAAGGGCAAAAAGAAGGGAGTAGTCACTCTATAGAGATTCTGACAGGTGGTTTGGTTTTTGCTTTGTTGCACAACTTTGACCCAAAGAAAGGCTGGCATTTTCCCTCCAGGCTGACTTGGTGAGGCTGAACCATGGGTGCCAAGGGTGTAGCACAACGAACGGGGATTTAAGGATGCAGCTTCAGGGGACACTGCCACCAGCCAGAGAAAATAACTCGGTCCAGGTCTTCCCCTCTCACCATGGCAAGATGGTGCTGTAGTTTAATTAGGTGTGAAGTCAGCTTTCCAGGGACACTGAATATGCATATCCTCGCTCTTCCATGGCCTCTCTGTGTTCTCTCCATCGTTACCGCACTCCCTCCTGACGTTCAGTCCCTGCTGGTGGGGCAGGGAGGAAGGGCCTTCACTCACATGGTAACAAATACAGTGGCACAGCCCAGGAGCCTAAACACCAGCTACCCTCTGAAGTTTTCATCGGAGTCTGCAGTGGAAGGAGTTCATGGGGAAGGCAAGCCGGCGTGGGTACCTCGTGAATTTGCTACGTGAGTCAAGCACAGGGCACATTCCTCGGCACACAGGTGTTCAGGACATGTTTTAGCTTGGCCTTCCTAGAAAACTAGGAAACTAATGAAATGTACACAAAGTGTTCAGGCTGGAGAAAAGGGCTGTCTACAAGAGTGTCAGTGTGAGGAAGTCACTTGCCCAGGAACAGAAGTGAACCCATATAATAGTAAAATGAGATAAACTGAAGAAAATCTACGGCGTTTTTTTGTTTTGTTTTGTTTTTTTAAGCCTCAGAAAGAGGTCTCGGATTCTAAACTGAGTGTGAAAAGGAACGGAGGTGAGCAGAATCAGGGGGGCCAATGAGGCATCCCCTGTAGTGCACTTGACCATGGAGGTGGGGAGCCTCAGGGCCACTACGGCTGGGAGCCAAACATCAGCCTCAGTCAGAAGAGGCTGTGGCCTGCAGGCCAGGACGATGCCAAGGCTTGTACAGCAAAGACCCAGGGCCGAGGAGCCCCTTCCAGACACGGCACACAGCACACACCAGAGCTTCACAAACAGCCCTGGCCCACAGATACACCGCCTCCTTTCGGAACCCGGCCCCTCCCAGGTCTGGGGAGCAGACAGCTGGTGTTTTATTCAGCTACATAAAGCAGGTCAGTGGTTCATTCTGCTTTCAGTGCTTAGCGCTGGTGAAAGGTCAGAGTCAGGGTTTAGGCCGGTTAAGTCAGCCTGGCAGATCCAAGCAGTGGCTGAATTATATGGAGGAGTAGCTCAGGGCCTAAGAGCACTTTTCTCATATCGCATGTTTTTCTTTATCCTGGAGAGCATGCCGGCTGGTTACTAACTGTACTGACAGATGTCAAAAGCTATCCCCGACTCCCACACAGTCACTGATAAAATTCAGACTTTGAGTCTAGTATTAAGACTCTAAGAGAAGGCAGCCACTTGGGGTTTGGTTGGAGACAAATTGGAAGTTTGGGCAACAAGCAAGTCAGATCGGTCCATTAACCAAACACAATGCATAAAGGGCACAGAGCCTCCCTTGTGTTTCCGCAGACAGAATATGCAGCCCAGCTAGATGAGACTGGGACTCTTAGATGCTGGGTTCAGAGCTCTCTCTCTTTCTCGACTGGCCCCGGCTGAGAGAAAGATGAAAATGGCTGGGACATGGTTCTTGAAGTCAGGGGGGTGTCCCTCGAAGGGAAGACCAATCAAAAACTGAATGCTCCTACAGTGCGTGTGCGTGAATCTTTTAAAATCCCTTTTGTTTCCCATCATTTGTGTTTTGATTGGTCCTCCTGCTTGTAATTTCCGTTTCCAAACTCCTATGGTTGAAGTATTTGTTGTCTACGGTCTTTATGGAGTCTAGGGCAGAAGCAAGTTGGCTCTTGGCAGCTACTGCCCAGGGAAGGAGGAAAGCCGACCTTGGCCCCGGGCCCCCAGCACAGGGAGCAGAGGGAGGAGTGTCCAGCTCCATCAGAATAAGAATTACAGAGATACGGGGCTAAGCAGTGATCGCAGGAATTGGAGCACCAAGCCAGACAGAGAGAGGACAGAATGCAACTGCCTTTACATGAGGAATCCCAAAACCTTACACTGGAAGGAGAGGATACCTCCCATGATTTGATGTCCAGCCTTGCCAAACCATAGCTTTCACTTATAAAGAGAAGGGGGAGAAAAAGGGCAAGCTCCCATTAATAAAAATAACTAAAGGGAAAAACACGGGGCCACAGAAAGCCATTAAGGCTACAAGCCAATGGAGAACCGCATCTTCCCAAAACGCTTACCGCAGCGCTCTCAACGAGCTTGCCTCCACAACATTCTCAGCGATGGTCACAGAGTCGCGCAGGGGACGTGCTGCTGCCAAACCATGACTTCATGCTCGTGACACACCAGCAATATATAAAGCTCCAGTCTCAGCCTAATGAAGAGGATGTAGGGTTTTACAAGCTTCTAACCATCACTTTAGGTGTCCAAGAGGAAAAGCTTTGAGGCTGTTTTAAGAATTTAGAACAAACTGCTGGAGGATTTAGGCGTGTGGCACACACTCTCAATTAAGAGATGTGTCACACTGGCCAGGAAGTCCCAGGTGAGGTGTCAGAAAGGAGCACCCACATCCATGGGACACCAGCAGTTCCCAGACCTCTCGAGAACCATTCAAAAAGGACACTTGGCAGACTCATTGTTTTACAGGATTTGGTGCTTCTGGTCATCACTACATCCTCCCACCGCACACATACCCACACAGTGCAAACCTAACAGCACAGATGGCCACAGAGGGATGTAGAAGTAGAGAAGGGTGGACTTGGGCCCACCGAAGCTTCAGGTGATTCCTTCAGCCCAGACCCAGTTAAAGCCACACAGCATCTAGTGGACACTGTTTAAAAAGCTGTCCTACAGCTCAGACATTACAAAATACCACAGAAAGAAATGTCAAAGCCCCAATCCTTTGCCTATACACAGTAAGCTACTAAGGGTGACATGGCCTCTAGAAAATCCTGGTACTGACTGAATTTTCTTCACTGTGATGGAAATAAAGGCTATATGTGTAGCAAAAAAATACCTTCGCGTGTATGTAGGACTCAAAATATTCTTGCAGCATATAACATTCCAAGCCATTTCCTTATATGCAAAACAGATTTTTTAAAAAGGAGGAAGACATCGGCAATATTCCTAAATATTGTCTGCAGATATAATAGTGTTTTATTCCTGGGTTGCGATTCAGATTTTTATTTGTCACGATAGCATGTTTCTATACTGTATGGTAAGACATTTGTGTTTGGCCTTTTTCTTGTATGAAGAATAAATCTTGAATTTTGTGTATTTTAAACCTTAAAAGCAAAATGTTCTTCCAATAGAGTAGTTAAGAGGCGACTTTGAAGAACAAGTACTTGACCAGCACTCAAAGCAGGAAAACTTTGTTGAAAGAGGTCATCTATTTAGATTACAAATTAGGTACCAAGCGTTGCAAACACAAGGAAAAAAATCGTAACTCCACTCCAGAAGCAGCCAGAAACAAGAGTCCCCATAACCCCACAGTTGTCCAAAAATGCTGCTTCAGAGCCCAGAAGTTTCATCACAGAGCCCAGGAAAGAGCTGCAGAGAAAGGAGGTGGGTTGAGCAGGTGGGTGTCTAAGCACCCACCCTAGCTTGGCTTCATTTTATAAATCATGCTTCCGCAAACAGTTTTGTTTGAAGAAAGGGTGTAACTAAAAAATAATTAAAAAAAAAAAAAAAGTGCAACAATCTGATGACCCTGAATAGGTTCTCTATCATTCTGAAATTGCCAAGTAATGTTGTGAAGCTGTTCTGAATATTTTATCCCATTATCTTTCTGTAATAAAAGTCAAGATTGCCATATAATTTATACTTAATTTTTTTTAATCTGGTGCAGAACATTATCAGTGAACAACCTTCATCCTAGAGGGAAATTCAGAGGGGGGGTGAGGTCAGTAGTCAACTATTTCCAAAGCCAACCTGGTCATACAGTGACCTCTGGGCCCTACCACCCCTGGAGCTTTAGATATATCTACCGAAAGGCCACCGTGTGCGTTCCTCACCATGGCACTCAGAACACACTAGAGATCAGCACCCCCAACAAGATGACATCTGCAGTTTTAAAAAACAAAAACCAAACAAGCCCCAGAAGTGAGATTACAAATCAATCACATGAATGGCAGCCGGCTGTCGGTGGGCCAGCCCCTACTGGGTCTTAAGGGAAATCTGTCACCGGGGCCACCTCGCCCTGGCAAGATGGGATTAGGTCCTGGCAGCGGGCCAACTGGATCAAAACGTGGTCTGAGTGGAGGGAACTGGCCGGGTGTCTCCCCAGGCCCAGGGATGAGTGAGTTGATCGGGTCCCCGACATAAGGAAGGGTTAGTCTTTCATCATATTCACCACCAATAATTCCCGGAGGAAGGAGCGAGCTGGGAGGAAAAGGCCTGGGGTGCAAGGGGTTGGGGTAGAATGGGAGGGGGTGGGGCGACGATGGAATGAACATCACATGCCGCCCTCTCTGAGCTTCTTTTCTTTGTTTGTACCTCTTCCTGTACAGCTGTAGAAACACAAGAACAAGATATGGTAAGCGATCTGGATGTTTCCCCAAAGTTCCAATTTGCTTCCACTGCTTTATCTACACTTTCCTCTTCCCACACTATGGAGCAAAGACACCAGTGCACACAACAGAAATTTTACCAGTTTCCATCTGCACGACTAAGGCAGTAGCTCTGAACACAATGCCGAATGAACTGTACTCTTTAACCACAGTGCAACTGAACAACTGTGCCAATTCAGGGAAATACTCAATCCAAAGGAAGGATAACTGAGTGGAATGTGCTTTCAAGGCTGCAATCGACAGCTCTTGAGCTAATATGCAATTTTAGGCCCACCTTTTTTGAAAGTGGAAAATTTAAATATCTGTTGAGAAAATCAGGCCACATAATATAAAGTTAAGGTACTGGGGGGAAGGGGAGCAGCATTTAAATTCACTTCTTCACCTGAATCATGTTCCTAAAGGATCTCAATCTAAACAGCAACAAAAAATAGAAGCCCATTTCAGAGGACAGAACATCTTCCTAAGGAACAATGCTGTTCACTCAGGACACATTTGAGGACCCTTCTCTAGTCCACCCCGTTTCTCAGTCCTGTCAATGTCTTTCAGAGTAGGCGGCTGTACGTAAAACGAGCATGCACTGTTCCAACTAGCTGGACAGCTGAAGACCACTCTCTCACAAAAACTCAGCTTAAAAATTGTTTTGCAACAGAGGAAGAAAGAATGTTTTATATTAAGTAAAGTCAAAAAACAATCGCTGTGTTAATAAGACTTCTTTTCCTGTGTAATTACACAAGAAAATAAGGACTGAGTCTAAGATGAAAGTTAAAAATATTTTCACTTACTGAAAATTAGCAATAAATTTAATAAAAGCAAATTTCATTACATCATAACAAAAATGATAATATGGCCTTAATGTATTAATTCACTAGTTGCTTCGGCGCTAATACTAACATTAGCCTTGATATTTAAAAATACCTACTTCTTTCCAATCTGTGTCTCGAACTCTCGCAGTACCATCTACAAAGAAAAAACAAAAAATAAGAATTTAAAATGCTTCATTCATCCAGGTTAAACAGCAATCTTGCTTCTGACCTAAGGAAACTGAAGCTTACACATGACGCACACGCAGGAACAGGAATCCTTTGTTCACAACACGCTGCATCCCTTGTAACCCTCCTGCACCGACGTAGACCTCTCTTGCTGGCAGAAGGCAGCTGCTGCCGTTCTGTGCTCGTGGGGACACCAATTGGTGACGCCCTCAGGAATATGGAGGACCGGGTGGCCGCTATCTCTTCCTCAACTGCCCCACGCTGCACTGCGCCTCCTCCGCCAGTCTCAGCTGAGAGTGACAGCTCCTTCTAACCTCAAATCTCTGCGACACTGGGTGACCATCTCTTTGTATCGCAGCCCATTGTTACTGGAGGTAAAGCTGACTTGAAGTTCTCTTATTTGGGTTGTTTTCTCCCAACTTTCATCAGTATGACTGCAACAACTAAGTATTTTTTAATATACTCATTTACTTGAAATACATGAAATGAGGAAAGAGAAACCTCTTCAACTTAAATCTAAAGAAGGGGCGCCTGGGTGGCTCAGTCGGTTAAGCGTCCGACTTCGGCTCAGGTCACGATCTCACGGTATGTGAGTTCGAGCCCCGCGTCGGGCTCTGTGCTGACTGCTCAGAGCCTGGAGCCTGTTTCGGATTCTGTGTCTCCCTCTCTCTCTGACCCTCCCCCATTCATGCTCTGTCTCTCTCTGTCTCAAAAATAAATAAAAACGTTAAAAAAAAATTTTTTTTAAAACCTAAGAAGAGTTGAGATAAAAGAGATATCTTCCCTAGAAGCTATTATATGGGCATGGAAGGAAGACTTTATAAAAGCTCCGGGCCTATGACGTTACATCCATAGAGAGATTCGTTATAAGATCTGAAAAGCTTACAGATGAGCTTGTGGACCATAATCTGGAAATGAGAGAGAGACTGACTGTATTTTAAATCCAAATTTGAGTATGTAAGTAAAAAGGTTTTTATGCCTATTTTTATCATAGCCTGTTTTTTGGTTCGTTCTTCTATATACTTTGGTCATTTTGTCTTTTCATTTCGACTATAATTTTTTTTTTTAATTTGAGATGACACTTGCTGCCTCCTAGAACAAAATAACATTTGAACTCTGCAGAGGCATAGAGGAATCAAGGAGGAATATGAAAGACCAGATCATTCACTGCTTCTATCTGAGGTTTTAAAGGAAAAAAGTCTTTAACAATCCTAATGACTCTACTTAATATTCTTATAAAAAAAAAAAAAACAACAACGAAGGGGATCTACCAAGATTTTTACAGTTCCCAAGATGTTATACATAGCACATCAATGTGAACACATTGATGTGAACCACAGTGTTTTTTCACAATGCAATGCAGTATATACTTATATATACATATACCGAAATAGAAGTTTACTCCTATTTTGTAAAAAAATACTGATTTTTTTTTTTAATGACCCAATATATTGATTTCATGACCCACTCTAGGGTCAAACCAGTTTAAAAAACAAAACAAAACACTGATACACAGAAAAGAAATTCTACAGTCGGGCACTAGGCTTCTATCCGGAAATCTTGATACAAAAGGCAAAGTGCTTGTACATTTGGGGTAACTTCTCTCCATCCCCAAGTCCCACTGCCATCACTGCTGCAACAATCACCAGGTCATCATAAATGTGACTATACAGAAATAAAGCTTCCCCAGCAATTTACCACAGGGTAGCAAGCAGGGCGCTCCTAACTGGTACACTGGTCACAGCCATGGACGTTGTTTAGAAATACACCAGACTGCAGAGTCAGATATGGAGGATGGTCTAAGAGAGCGAATAAACCTGAAGTTTTTCTATCCTGAACTATTCTCAGTCTACTGGGATATTTGCATTATACAACACACAGAAATGAACGCGAAGTTTTCGGGATATAGGCACAAGTATATGAGGCTTAGCATCTCCTTCCAAAAAGGCTATAAGTTATGATTACTTGAAACTCTTAAACAGACAAAGAGCCTACAACTAAAAACTTTTGGCAAGCTGAGTAATTCAGACCTCAGTAAGAACGAGTCCTTTTCCTGTTAACGTGTCACTGTGGCAATTACCTCGAAAATCCCGCAGATATAAACACCTCCACAGCAGTTGGTCATTTGAAGCAATAAAGAGATCACGACAAACTGCAGACAAAGACAGAACAGAACGAACATCCAAAAGTCGGAAGATCCGCAGTTTCAGCTCCAACGGCAGGACCACCAACCCGAATACATCCGGTAGGTTCAGCGCTATAAAGAAAAAGAGAACAGGCAGTGAGTAAAGAACATCTGGCTTTCCCCACATATTTAACGGAAGTTACCAACTTGTTCCTAAGTGACAAATTAGATGGTAGTTTCAATTACCCAAGTATGCATCACCTACAACAAAATTTTAACCCCAGGTTGGCTATATTGCTCTACTACTAAGTCCCTTATTCCCTCTATGTTTTAGGGGAAAGACAAATACTTTTTCATACAAACCAATGAATCGCTATGACAACTTCCAAATATTAGCCAATGGCCTTTGTTTCGAGCAGTATTCGATGAATGCAACAAAAACTTCTGTATTCAATTACAGAAAATGGATGCTTTGTTGGCTTTTAAAACTGGTTCCCAATACTGCTACTTATTAGCTGTGTGCCTTTGGACACTTGGATTACTTAACTACCATTCAATTTCCTTACCTGTAAAATGGGTTAGGAGTACTACCTAATTCATGCAGTTGAAAATTAAGTGTGTGAATATATACAGAGTGCTTAGAACAATGCCTGGCACATAACAAGCACTCAAGTGTTCACAATTACTATTCTCTGAGGTCTAGCAGGCTGAAAAAAAAGGGAGGTAGATAAATATCAGAGGCAAGCCAAGAAGGAAAAATAATAACATATAATCAAATGAGATTTATTAGCTCCTTTAAATATCTGTGATACTAATCTCCACTAGCTAAGACCATCAAAATCCAATAAAGCATTTTAAAATTCACATATTTCCCTTCCATCACCGGCACATGAAGAAGAAAACTATGGTGACAGCAGCCTAGGCACATGCAATTGGACACTTAAAATACAAGATCCCTACATAAAAATGGCAAATAAAAGCCACATATCTATATGTATAAACCTGAAGTTCTTCTCCAGCTAAGGGATTGTGGTAGATGAGGATTCTCATTTTCTAGCTTATAATTACGCTTCCCCTGACGGCCACACTGCCATCAGGCTTGGCCATTTTGTTGCGTCCAATAAAATGTGAGTGGATGTAGCGTATCATTTCTGAGCAAAAAAGCTGTAAGAACCACCGTGTGGCTCGGTCACTGGGCCTTCTTTTCCCTCTGCTCCAAGGAGAGCATGTCCTGAAGAAGGACTATTCCTTCAGCCAAAACTCACTCCCCCACACACACAGCATGCATATGAATGAGAAATAAGTGCTTTAAGTCATTGAGATTTTAACATATTTATTACACCACAAATAAGAGCCAACATAACAATTCTGAATGAAATATACACCTCACTGAATTAGTTTCATCATCTATAAAATGAGGATGAAATCCCTTTAAAGTTGTTAGCACTAAATAAAAATCCATGTAAATATCCAAAGGAGTTAGCATAGAACCCCAAGAAATAATGTTAAAAAAAAAACAAACTGAGACCTAATTTACAGACTATACGTTACTTATATATTTGTCAAACACCTATTATGGACCAGACCCTATGTTAGGCCATGAGAATACAAAAGTGGCTAAGACATAGTCCCTGCTTCCAAGGTATCTAAAACCTTAGGAGGTGGAAAGAATGCATATCAACACTTATGATACACTGGAAGAAGAGTTACAACAAAGACGTGCCCAAAATGTTGTCGAAATACACACAAGAAGTAAATAACACTTGAGGAATTAACATTAAAGCTTAGTTTTAAAAGAACATAACTTCACTAGGGGAAAAGAGGCAAGAGTCATATGTCAGGGTCACAAGCATAAGACATAAACTTTTACTATTCTTTCCAGCCATCTGACCTGTGATCATTTATCGTCTCTCACCTTGTCGGGTAAAAGCCAGAAGAGGATACACCAGCTGGTCTTTGAAGAGACGAGAGAGCTTCTGAAGATCTTTGTAGATCTTGGCCACATTTTCCCCTAGAGTATTTTTTTTTAATGAAAAATCAGAACAAAATCAAGTGGCAAAACTTGAAATGGTAACCTTTACTTCTGCCAAACAAATCAAAGTTGTAAATTTTCATAAGTAATTCTTATATAGACAGATGTGAACCAAAGTCTCTAGTAGAAGTACTATATGCTGTGTGGCTCTGAAAACTCAATCTTAGATGTAAAGATAAAAATCTCATGATTTCAAATTAATAGAGCTGTACCCAACCTATATAATTCACAGACTACAGTTATAGTAGGAAAAACTGGTGAGAGAGCTGTACACACAGCATGATTTACTGAGCACCTGCCCAAAGTGTCCAGCACTGGGGGTACAGTGGGGAACCACTCTCCGGATCCCAGCGGAAGTAGAACAGTATTTGTCACATGACGACCAAGTGTCACCAAGTGTATTAAACATTCTTCAAAGCTTTCTTTCACATCAATGGTTCTCCCTAAGAGAGACATACTCTGACCCCCATTTTAAAAACAGGACAAGATAATGGAAGCCCATCCAAAGCTTCACAGTAAGTGGCAGGGCAGGGTACAAACCTAAGTCTGGCTCCAACGCACTCACTTTAGCCACTAAACTGCTGCTCAGAGTGTGGCTCACAGATCACCAGAACTGACATCATTTGGGAACTGCTCGGAAATACTGAATCTCAGGCCCTACCACAGACCTACTTAATCAGAACCTGCAATTTCATAAGATCCCCTGATGATTCACTTGCACAGTGCAGCATGGGAAGCACTGCCAAATACGACCTCAAGTTCCCACTGCAATTCCGCCGTACTGTGACCAGGTGTATGACCTTGAACCCTCGGATCCGCACCTGTTTGCTCACCTATATCAAGGGGATACATACCACCCTGCACCAAAGAATGGTTAACGTAAAGCACCACACACAGTGCCTATGCCCCATTCTGTAACTAGGTACTCGGCTGAGAAACAAAACACTATCACCTGACTGATAACAAACAAGAAAAGATATGCAGCTAAACTTTAAATCCTTGTCACATGAACGACAATCTTGACTTGAAGTCAAATGTCAAGATATCTTAAAAGTCAATTTGGATAAGGCTTTTCAGTGTGAAAAATGATTTTTTTTAACAAGTTTTTTCTTTCGGTTATCTATTACAAAAGTAATCAGAAACTTACAAGTATAAAGACAAATAAAAACAAATATGCATTTAAATAAGTATATACTAGGTACTCTACTATAAAAGCCACTGTATAAAGTAACTAAAATTACTTGTCAAATGGGCAGCATAACCCTACCCAACATAAAAATACTGTATTAAAAATATTTAATACAGCCCATAAACTTACTGTAATAGAACATTATGAACTTTCTTCTTCCTTTCACTTCCCTTCTCTTTATTTAACAAAAACCACATAAAGAATACGAATCTGGGGGCGCCTGAGTGGCTCAGTCGGTTAAGCGTCCGACTTCAGCTCAGGTCATGGTCTCACAGTTCGTGGGTTCATGCCCCTCACTGGGCTCTGTGCTGACAACTTGGAGCCTGGGGCCTGCTTCATATTCTGTGTCTCCCTCCCTCTCTCTGCCCCTCCCTCACTCATGCTCTGTCACTCAAAAATAAATAAAGGTTAAAAAAAAATAAAAAAGAATACGAATCTAAACTACATTCCTATAAGTTATTTTTAAAAAATAGTCTGAGGAGTCAAATCTATTCCAATTCTAGATTCCACCATTTATTAGCTCTGTGACTTTGAAGCACTTTAACCTCCTCTAGACTTGTCTCCTAATCTGTAAAATGGGCATAAATAACCTCCACTACTGTGGAGTGGAGTGTATTTCTAGCCCCCATAGCAAAGTACTCCCTAGTGTGGAGAGAAACAGTGTTGTGGCCAAGAATTTCAAGTTTTCCTGTTCCCAATGGTGAGACATCTTTACACATTTATCAGTCTAGTTCATGCTCCTCAACAGGGGCAGTGCCACCCACAATGGAACAAAAACTGGTTCTCGGAAGGCAGAAACAAAACAAACCCTAGCTACACCATTGGTTTGTGACCCTCCAAAGGGCCACAGTACACAAATGAAAATACACTATATATCTATGGTATTAAAATTTCATGGAAGAGAATGGAAGGGGGACAGATTTTCTACAAAGGTTCCTCAAGGGATAAGAAAACGAAGGTTAAGAAACACTGGTGTAGTATGATGTTAAATGTCCAGAGATCATTATGAATATGTATCCAGATGTCCCCATTTCCCATCAGTTTTGGTTCACGGACGTTCACAGAACTCAGCCTGATCTGCCCGGGAAACTAACAAGAGTCAGTCTCTAGGCCTTCAAAGCAAAGACCTAGCTCTAGGTAGCCTTCCCTTAAAGACACCACTGCCAATGCCACCACCCATGACACCACATTTAGATTTTAAAACCCTCCTAAGTTACTAGAAAGATGAAATGGAATAGCATCTGTCAAGGCATGTGTCCAGCACAAAACAAGCGCTTAGAGATGTGAGTTCTCTCTCCACCCATCTCCTCTCCTTCAACCACCTACCTGCTTCTCATACTTTGAATTTAACTAACAAAATAAAAAGGATAACTTGTCTTTGCATCTATTAGTAATCTTACAGAATACAAGCAAAACCATGCCTAGAATGTAAACTTTTGGTAAATCTGATCAAACAGCAACCAAATCTATGTTGGTTTAAACTAACATTCTGAGTAGTTTTTCCTCCAATAATCTTCAATAATGAAGTTGCACTGTATGGTTTCCACAAAATGCAGATCCTCTCCATACTGATTAAATACGAGAAAAATCCAAAGATTAATTCATAAATTATGAAGCATCAACATCACAAGTAATGAATTACATACTAGTGTCGTTCCATAATGGCAGCATAAATATAATTCAGCATTCCAAGAGGAAAGCAGGAAAGAAACAGATACTCTGCAACACTGTCTTAAATTTGCTTTAATCTCATTCAGAAATTTTCAGTCACTCAAACATTACCATTTAGTTTTGTTAAAGCAAACCTCTCAAAGCTTCATCCCAAAAGTTCAACCATACTTATGTTACCTGGTTCTGTTTTGCAAATAAATGACTCTGGCAGCAGCTGCAATCTGTTCACACTTCTGAGCTCACTGTTAATCTTTAGTGTAGCTGTAAATAAGCAAAAGAGAGACAAATCATTTTTGTCAGTTCCTCAATTGCCTTCATTATCTAGCATGGGCTTGCACTTCCCTGTCCCAACATACGAAGGACACACTGTACAAACTGCTCTACACTCATTTCCTTCCCTCACAACAAAGTCCAAAGTGGAAACCTGCCATCACATCAAGTAAAATCACTCTAAAACAAACACCTCTAAAAACTAGAGTATGCACTTCTATATAAAATCCAGTAGGTATTACCAACAACAGCTTATTACTCATTGAAAGATATGCAGCAAGGTTAATAGGAGACAGTTAAACATAATAAAACCATTATTTCCAACAAGGTCACCAAAAACTCCATTTATTTTTTTTATTTAATCCTTGGCAATGAGTTTTGCCTTGTTTACTAAAAGAATCCTGCTAGTTTTCACAACATCATCTCTTTCTAGACCCAAAGGACCAATATTCTTGACATCACCAGAAGGTTCCATTTTAATCATATATACAAAGGCTCACTTCATCTCATGCCATGAAAGAGCCAGTGACGTGCTCATGCACATGTGTGCTGAGCAGGAGGTCTTGGGCGAAGGAAAAGACTTAAAGACACACTGCTCCTTTTCAAAGAACCAAGCCTGGAATGGCTGGCTGCCACACAAGTCTGCAAGTAACTGATCTGCCAGGAGCAATAAAAGAACAAAATACCAGAAACTCTGATATCTTTGAGACATTTAACAGCCATTCTCTTTATGTTATGTATCTTGAAACTAGTAAATAGAGATTATCACACGCATTGTTAAAGTGCTTTTGTAAGAAAAGGAGGCAAAAATGAAGTTGGTAGCTTCAACCTCGCACATTAGGATGTGACGGGGCAGGACGCCTGCAAGGAGGCAGAAACTGCTGGCTCTCTGTGTAAGAACACCCAACTGAAAGGCGTGCTTGCTAACTGTGATGAGTCGCTGAAGACACGGGGCTAGTCCACCTGCCATCAGACACATTCTGACCAGCACAGAATACCACCAATACTGGTAAAGCTGAGATTTGAGACTTTTACGGAACATCGCAAGGAAATCTAGTGACTAAAAGGAAATACCACAAATTACATCACAGGGGACATGGAACCACCTTTCACTTCAAAGATCATGACCATGTATGCCAGTGGTTTTCAAAGTAAATTTCTGCAGAACATGTTTCAAACAAACTCTCAGAAGGGACCTTGATAACGCAACAGAAGAACATGGTGCCGCTCAAGGTGCACGCGGCAATACACGTTCCGTGAAGCCTCCTCACTCATCCATCCTGGCGGAACCAGTGCCACAGAGCACAGGAAACCACGAGGCATCAAAGCAACTGCCTTTGCTACACAAAAGGTGAGCTGCACTGAAAAACCAAAAATGCAGCCATTGCAACCCCACCATGCTGTCTTAGCTAGCTGAAGGATAAAGAAATCAAAAATCAGAACAGAACGGAAATGAAAGATTCTAGTCACTCAAATGGCTCTCTAGAACACGTGATTATGAGACTATTCCATAGACCACTGGTAGATGTACGGACCTCTGGGTGGCCTCTGAGCTAAAATGAAATACAAACAAATACAGGCACTGCTATCCCTGTGAAACTGCCAATATGAAAGAGAACTAGAAAAAGAAACTAGTCAGAGTGACTTTCCTGCAGGTCGAGGGATCAAGCACACACATACTAAAGCAGTGCTTAGCAGTGTTTCTATGCATTACTGTTCAGAGACGCCAAATGGGATAAAAAGTGACCCCAGCTCAATCTCACCTCTTACCATCTCTCAGTTCGAGATCTCTGTTAAAAAAAATAAACATAAAAAAGTCACCCACAGGCACAAAGTGCTCGAATATAATAGATCATCTCACTTCAAAGATCACAACACTCCCCGCAGCAATAATATCGCCAGGTTAAGACAGCTGAAGGCTACAGCTGCCCGGAGAGAGAAGGCTGCCAGCCTAAACATCTACCCACACATTCTACAACCATTCAGGCTCGGGGTATCAGCGGCCTAGAGACTCAACAAAGTTGAGAAAGATGCAACTGTATCACGAGAGCCAATCACTGAAGCAGCTATAGTCTGGAAACATGTCAGTGTTGGTAAACCAACAGCCCTCCATTACCATTTATGACAATTAGGTTTCCCAAAGGCACACAGGTGAGAGCAGCAGAGCCGCCCTCGCAGAGAGGGTGTGTATACTGCAGCTTGTACACACCACCCGACCTCCAGTTCTCTGGCATGGACATGGCTTTGGCCTCAGGCCCCTGGGGAATGAAAGGAAAGAGAAACAAATAATGAAGAGAAGTGCTACTCTCAAAAAGGATTAAAAATCCAACAGGCCCCTAACTTGTCTGGAAATAAGCATTCCGTACAGTCCCCTTAATAAAATCTGTCACATCATTACTACAGCTAGTAATAAAATTTTGATAGAAAAACGTTTAAATGTATTCTCCTCCATCAAAATGTTCAAATGGATAAAGTCACATCAGAGACAGGGATTGTTTCTCTCCTCAAAGACTTACTTCTCTGCCTAGCAAAGCAGTATCATTATTGAAGACCATACCTCAAATAGCAGTGCATTTGTGAAGCCTTTAAAAAAAAACTCCCGTTTGTCATTCCCTTTTATCCCCTAACATTCTGTTCTCATTTCTATTGTTACACACTTCTATTGTAATACATTATAATTTTCTTTTTATCTACTTCTCTCCCCCACTTATGGACTCCTTAGGGACAAGGACTTGTCCCAATATCTTTATATCCTAATTCCTGGCTCAGATCATGGCATGCTGCGGGTATTCAATGATCACTGCATTACTCTACATCTTTGTTACTTATAATGTGGCCCACAGACCAGCACCATTACTATTGTGTAGGAGTATCCAGAATCTCAGGCTTTACCCTAGACTTACTAAATCAGAATCTGCATTTTAGGAAGATCCGCAGGCATTCTTAGGCAAAGGTTTGAGAAACTCTAATTGTTCCTCTCCAGGACTCTCTGGCATCCCGTATACATATACGTCTCTCCTAGAATTTAACCAATATACTGATGGTTCATAGACTGTCTCTCTCCCCCACTCCTGGACTAGAAGCAACCTGAGAGCAGGGACAAAGCACCGTACCTGTCAGTGGTAGATACTTACCAAACAGAGAATGAATGAATGAAGGGAATAATGTCCCTCTTCCTAACTGAATCTTTACTAGATTACTGACAATTCAAAGCCATTAACATAAAAAATAATCCAGTGAGCCATCCCTCTAGACATGCCTGCCCCACACTCTTGACCACAGTTCATTTCATATTATCATAATCTTTTTACCATAATTGCCACCACTTCTATAATACAAACTGACAAAACTGACAACAGAAATGAAGGGAAAAAGAGAGGGAACGTTTATTGACCACCTACTGTATACCCATCACTGCATTCAGCACTTTACATTTAACACTCAACTGCATTTAATATAGAGATCTAGAGTTCCACAACACCCTAGTGATGTTTGTTAGTACACCCCCATCCCCAATGGGAGGCTGAAACCCCAACACGATGTATTCTGTTCGTAGCCTCACCTGAGGTATGTAACCTGACTCCAGCATGAGCAGATGTATTGACACTATCAGGGCATCACTGGGACTGGAACAGTCGGCTGAGTGATACAGGACCTCTAATGAATGTGGCACTTGCCCCTCCACCGACTCACTGCAGAGCATCGGTTCTGAGGGACAGACACCTGTGCCCTCTTCCATAGCCACAACATCTTGAACTGACTCAGTTTCAAAAGTCTGGCTAGGCCCCGACTGAAAAAGATAACAAATCAATGAATTCATTAAATAGACTTTTATTTTTACAGTTTATTGTGTATCCTGAAGTGAACTCAGATTAGTGCCCAAAGCCAAAGCATGTTATTAGCTTCAGAAATGGGACACATTTTAAGTGAGCCCTCCTAAATAAATGAGCTGGCAATCTATTCCCCCATCCTGAATTCCTTATCTCCGTTCATCCTGGCCAGTATGCCAAAAACCGGAAATCAACCTAGCCTCCTCCCTCTACCTCACTAAACTCTACTTTCGTCGTGATCAAAGTTCCACTGAATCTATGTCCAAAATACCTCTAAAATCTGCCCCTACTACTCCAGTGGTACTTTAGACTCATTTACCTCTTGACATCCAGCAACAGCTTCCCCAAGGATCCCTGACTCCGTTTTGTCTTCCAAGACACCCACTGCTGCGAGAGTTTCCGACAATTAAGAATCCACTTATGGGAGGGCCTGGGTGGCTCAGTCGGTTAACCATCTGACTCTTGGTTTCAGCTCAGGTTATATATGATCTCACAGTTTGTGGGATCAAGCCCCGTGTCGGGCTCTGTGCTGTGAGCAGAGAGCCTGCTTGGGATTTTCTCCCTCCCAATCTCTCTGCACCCCCAAACCCTGCTTACATGGGCTCCCTCTCAAAACACATACATACATAATCTTTTTTAAAAATCCAATTATGTCCCATAACCAAGCTTAAAACTTGCCAGTATTTCCCCAGTGCAGATCGCAGCATTCCCCTAAATTGTGCCTTGGGATGTGACCCTAGATGTCCTCAGGAAAAAAGAGGTCTACAATCAATTCAGTTTGGAAAATACTACATGCTATAGCCACCGAACCTCACCCTCCACATTCACAAAATACATCGTGGCATTACAGAGCTCTGAGAAGTCCAACAATAATAATGTGTGTGTAATATTTAGCCAAGAAACACTACTCTCCTTCCTTAGTACCCAGCATCCTCAGAACACTTACTTATAATCTAAGGGAAGAAGTGTTTCATAGAGGACATGCTGTGAGATGCAGGCCTAGAAAATGAAGTCCCAACTCCTAAACGCCTTAGCATACAAGGTCCTTCATCACTTCATCAGATCCCTGACTCTCAAGCCCACTTCCTGCCAGCCCCTTCCTCTCCACGCCAGTGTTCCCCACCTCTGCAAAAGAGGCAGTACAGACAGACTACCACCCTGACTTGCAAAGGCCTTGACTACTGCACTTTCCTGATTTCACACCTATATCCTACCACGACTGCAAGCTTAGAAAGGAACAGAGTAGGGATGCCTGGGTGGCTCAGTTGGTTAAGCGTCCAACTTCAGCTCAGGTCATGATCTCACAGTCCTGGGGTTCTTCCCAGAGATTGTGTGCCATGCCTCCTGGATTTGAAACTGCTTCCAGCTTATCAGATACTCTTGCCCCTCTGCCCACCCCCCCCCCCCCCCCCAGCTCACACTCTGTCTCTTTCTCAAAAATAAATTATTAAAAAAAAAAAAAAAAAAAGGAACAGACTACGTGTCACACACTTTTCTAATCCCAATACAGTACCTGGCACACAGCAGGTGCTCAACAAATGCTTGTTGAACCAATGCTTAAGAACAGTATCTTAAAATTTCATAATTTGGTTTTGTTTTCAGTGTCTTCTCATTTGTACCATAAAAAAGTCTACAAAACAGTAAAGTCAGATGATGTTGCCTTTTCATACATGCTGTAACTGACTCAGATTAAGTAACACAATCAAGGTTACCAGCTAATAAAAACCTGAAATGAACCAAGATCTCCAGACTCACAGTTCAGGCTTTCAGACACAATACACTGCTTCAATAAGACTATGTTACTTGTATTAATTTTGCTCAGAAAGTTTGTCTCCTAAGCATGTGCTCAACTCTTAATGCAAAACACATGTTTCTTCAAGATCATCGTTCCATTAAAGAAAGGGCAGAGGAAATTAAAATTACATAGGATAAATGAAAGGATGGAAAAATATAAGAAAGCAAGAGGCAGTTCCTCTAGAATCCCTGAGGACATAGCCCTTATTGGCTTATGAAAAAGATCCAAATTCACGTGTTAAAACCTAGAGGCCAATGACAATTCATACTACCAAAAAAAGGAGGCTCCATAATACTTCTAGGCAAACAGAAACTACTTATTAAAACCACTTATCACCAAAATTATGAAGCCTATAAGCGCTTTGCATCTTACTTATCTACTATACCTAACTTTGGGCCATTTGTTACTATTGACGGTTGTGTGGGAGAGAATCTATGTGGAGAAAATATTTTTAAAAAGAGTTACTCTAAACTGATAAAGCCATGGGAGGAAGGTATCAGAACTCCCTGGTGAGCTTATCAAACCCAACTCCCACTCCATAACAACCATTAACATTCTGAGCCATTCTGATAGGATATGAAATATCTATGATATTCTTCATACATGTGGAAATCAGGAGGAAAATGCTCAGCACCACCTCTTTATTTTTTTAATGTTTATTTATTTTTGAAGGAGAGAGAGACAGAGTATGAGCAGGGGTGGGGCAGAGAGAGAGGGAGACACAGAATCCAAAGCAGGATCCAGGCTCTGAGCTGTCAGCACAGAGCCCAATGCAGGGCTCGAACTCACAAGCTGTGAGATCATGACCTAAGCCGAAGTCAGACGCTTAACCAACTGAGCCACCCAGGCACCCCACAACACCACCTCTTTAAATAAATCATTTGTCATGTCATATACAAATGATGGCAATAGGTGATTAAAATGCACTTTAGGGCTAATATTAGAGTCTGATACCACATTATTCCCATTTCCCTTAAAGATTCAACAGGTACTAGAATTCCCAAATAAATGAAAATAAGAAAATTACACTTAATTTTCAAATTTTACAAGTAAAATTTTCCTATTGTTTCCAGTTTTACCCATCTATTTTCCTTTGTTGTTGTTGTTGTTGTTGAAAGACAGGGCATGAGCAGGGGAGGGCAGAGAGAGATGGAAACACAGAATTTTAATAAGAATCTGAAGTAGGCTCCAGGCTCCTCAACATGGGGCTCGAACCCACAAACCGCGAGATCATGACCTGAGCTGAAGTTGAGGCTTAACCGACTGAGCCACCCAGGCACCTGTCTATCTTCCTTTTCTAATACATCATTCTACATTTAATGAGCAGATCATACTGTTTCAAGTACTTGAAGCACACTTAGGAGATTTCAAGCTTACTTACTTCAAGATTACAAGCTTAGTCACCCTATACAAGTCTGAGAATACAAAACAACACGCGTTTAGAACTAGAATTACTAACTTGAAGCAATATTAATTTCTCAAAATTTTTCAAAAGGAAACTAGTAAAGTAAATATCACATATATTATGAAAAGTTCCATCTTACTGGACAATTTTATAAGTATACAGAAATAAAAGGAATGGACCCTTCCACCAGAATCTCTGAATGTGTCTAACAGCAAAGATGATTCAGAAATATAATTTAAATATGTAGCTAAGTATTCTTACTTATTCCCTAAATTACCTCCATGAGACAGAAACACAGAGATACATAATACTTCCTAAAAAAAAATCATAAAAATACTCTGAGCTTTATAAAGCCTTGTTAAAATTGCTTAATTTCTCTATATACTATTACTAAAAATCTCAACATATTACCAATCTATTAAAAAGCATTTCTTCTTAGTAACTGTCTATACTTATTGAGGTTACAGGCACAATGAATACTTATATTCATAAGTGTTTAAAGCCTGAAAAAAAACCAAAATAACAACTAAGCTTAAGTAGTAAGTATACACACAAAAAACAATTAACATGATTGCATATGTATTAGTATTAAAAAATTCAGTAATAAATTTCATCATTTGTGCCACACAAGAAATCAAAAGGCCGGGTAATCACTAAGGGGGTGTTTACAAGGCAATACAGATGATCGATAAAGAAATTAAAGATGATCATTGGGGCTGTGGCTGGCAGGGCCTTGGAAGATGGGCAGAGACAGGAGAGGTAGGAAAGGCCGTGCATTCCAGGCTGGGTGAATGGCAAGAGCAAAGACATGAAGCAGTCACCAGTCTGTCTGTGTGTGTGTGTGTGTGTGTGTGTGTGTGTGTGTGTGTGTGTGTACGTGCGCAAACACATGAATGTGCTGGCTGGCACAGGGAAAATGATAAGGACTCTGATCTGACTGCAAGTGACAGTTTACTGAGGGAAGAACAGAAACTGGCCCTGAAAAGCCTTAAAGACTAGGGACAGCATTTTCTTCCTCTGTAGCATGACAGGGTTAGAAATATTTGGACTTTTTCAGCTCAAAAATTATAAGCACTGGTGTATCAAGGACACACAGCTACTACAGAACAAGGGAACAACAAAGTCAAAACCGTGTTGGGAAAAGATGAACGCAGAAAATAGACCGAAGGACAGACACTGGAAGCCTGGAATGGAAAGGAAACACTGACAGGGCTTGTTAAGGGGCTGGATAGAAGTAGACAAAAATCATTCCAGGGTTTTAAGCTCAGGAAAACAGTGGTGCCACTGAGAGAAAGGGCAGCTGGTTTGGGAAGAGAACATTAGTTCATATTTCCAAATTTATGTTGGCACAGAGTCTGAAGTAACAACGTTTAAAATCCAGGTATAAATGTCCTGCAAACAATTTGGAAATAACTGCACTCTATATAGCCTTAATGGGTGGAGCAGACCAGAGAAGCTAGGCTGGGAATCATGAGCTCAGAGGCAACAACAGGAGCCAAAGGACAAACCATCTGAAGGAGTGAGTGTCTGAACAAAATAAATAGGTAAACACTGGGCTCTTTGGATGGTCCAACCACTTAGCAGTTTAAAAATTTCTACAAGAACACGATCCGCAATCTACTAACAATAATTACCCTGATACAGAATTCAATCGAGGTGTTCGGTATCCTTTATCAATTACCCCTTTTCTCTTCTTGATGTTAATACCTACCATATTTTCATCATTCCTGACATCAGTTTGGGCTGCCTGTCCTTGGAATGAATCACTTGGTTGTTCATCCTGTACGATGGACTGATTGGAGCTGGCGGCCAAAGAGGGTTGGTCATTATTCTGGAGTGAGGAATGCTCTGAATCTGTGGATGAAGGTAAGTTAGGTGCTGGAATGGCATCTTCAAGAATCAAACATATCAAGTCCCCAGAAACAATCCCATATGAAGCCAAGGTCTCTTCATCTCCAGTGAGGGCATCCTTGTTGTTCAATGTGATTGCAAACCGGGTATCAGAACTGCCAAGAAAGATGGATAAGGATAGTAAGAGCTACCTACCATTACCCATAGCTACCATTACCTTCAATACACTAGTAACATATATAAGATACATGGTATAGTCCTAGAAGAAATAAGTAACAAAAACAAACCAAAAATAAAAAGGAAGCCAAAGTTTTACAAAAAATATCAAAATTATTTGTTATCACCAAGTGCCTAAGTTATAGATTTCTAATGGCTACAATTCTAGCCTGAGTGATAGGATACAGTAACTCTCTATCATTAATCCATGTTTTCATCAATTCTAAGATAACACACTTTACATCCTTTGTAACTTGGATATCTTTGAAACAGGGATGCTTCTTAAAACTCATAACACATCACAGCTTAACTGACATTTTTTTTCCTTTAGTGTTACATAAAACAATACGCATCTTAAGAATGACAGTATCTGAGAGTCAAGGAAATACACTCTTTTGAAAATTATGAGGGGTGCCTGAGTGGCTCAGTCAGTCAAGCATCCAACTTTGGCTCAGATCATGATCTCGTAGTTTGTGGGCTCAAGTCCTGCAACGGGCTCTCTGCTGTCGGCACAGAGCCCGCTTCAAATCCTCTATTCCCCTCTCTCTCTGCACCTCCTCTGCTTGCACTCTCTCAAAACTAAACATTTTAAAAATAAAAAAATTTAAAAATAAAATACAAACTATGTCACATGATTCCTCTGCTCAAAATCCTCCTCCAGTGACTTGTATCTGAACTTGGAATGGAATCTTTAACATGGCCTCCAAAGCCCAACATGTGACCCCCTACCCACTTCTCCTATCTCCTCCAGCCTCTCTTTACTGTTCCCTATTAACATAAGCTTTCCATCCCGTTTCTCAAAACAGATCAACCTCATTGCAACCTCTGGGCCTCTGCATTTACTCTTCCAGATCTTCAAAGGACTGACTCTCATCATTCTGTCTCAATTCAAATGCCATCTTTACAGAGATGCCTTCTGCCTAACCTCCACCACTCTATTCCATTTTATGTTTTATTTTTATTGTAACATCACTATGTGAAAATTCCATATTTATTGACCATCTCTCCTCCACCCCCACCACCAGAATTTAAGCTTCATAACATCAGGTATCTCATCTATCTAGTTCAAAACTGTATCTCCAGCTCTTGACAAATAAAAGTATTAATGGAATAAACGCAACCAATAAAGAGTAGTTGGGAAAATGAAACTGAAATCAGGGTTTCCTAGTCAGTGTTCTTACAGGACAATCAGCTTATATCTGCTCCAAAATACTAGACCCACGTCTTAAATGAATATTCACAATCACAAAAAGATGAGTACAAAATACATCCCTCCTGCTGATAAATACAAGGTCACCTTTCTTACTGATAACCTTTTATAGTAAGAATAGCACATCCAAAAACTCACTGCTAAACAAGCTAAGAGCTCAAATTAGCCCGAAGCAATGAACTCTCATCCCTTCACATCACAGACTACCTGATTTGAAAGAATAACCATCATTTCACCACAAAGTGGTGAGGGGTAATTAACAAACCACTGCAGAACTTTTTACAAGACATTTATACTCAGCAATGCTGACTTCATTAACTTTTTGAGAGGTTAACCAAGGATGAAGTTCTTTGAAAATCATGTTCTATTTATTCTTACAATGCTGCATTTTCACAAATGTTCACAATTCATTTTTCTTTCACAAGTACATTTTTTTCTTACCAATTAAAGTACCTTTGGTAGAGAAATTACTGAAGTTCTAGAACCTACTCCTGCTTATCAGAAAATAAGTAGCTGTGTTTCTGTTTTCAAAGAATGTTGAACATCTGCCAGATGCCTCAAAAAACACCATCCCGACTTCAGCAGAAAAAAAGAAACACACTTCAAATGAACTATGTTCTTACGGATCTTCTGTCACAGCAAAAGTGTTTTTTTTTTTTTTTAAATAGTATCTAATACAATGTTCATTCAAACATCTCCCTGTAGAAAAACTAAAGAACTGTGTCATTAATAAAAATGCTGGCCTTCCCCCCACCCCAACCTTTAGAAAAAGGGAAGAGCTATTTCTAAAGTAACATAGAGCTTTCCAGGGGAGGAATTAAAAACTGGTGTTCTAAAACTGAAGAAATATTTAAATCCATCAGGAAAAGCCATCCTAGAAACACCAAGCCTTTTAAAGATATCTTATGGCAATCCCAGATCCACTTGTTCAGAGAAGACATTTTAAAAATAATAATGTCACAGGGACGTATTTTAAAACTGCCTATTTATTACAAAATGAACATACTTTCGGAAGAACAAATTTACTTTCACAAGCTGAAGCTTACATTCCTTCCAGTTAACCAGCCTCAACTGTAAAAACAAACCCAAAGGAGAAACTAACTTGGGCTCTTAGATAAATAGTCCTTTCAAGACGGTCTCTCCTAATTAAAATAATAATAATAAATATACACATATATATGAAAAATATTTTAGAAAGAAGTTACTTTTGAAATTGTCTGGTGGGCTAATGATACCAGCATACAAAACGCTTAGGTTTTAACACCAATAAATAACAACAGGCATGTCACTTAACATAATGTTCAAAAGTTATTATGTCAACACCCTCATTTTTAATTTGGAGAAAAACAGCCTTACTTTTAATATGGTGTTTTTACCCTGAAAAATGAAAGGGTGAGAAGTTCATAATATGGCCTCATTTTACTGAATTGCCCCCAAATGAAAGTATGTAAGTCTTATAAAAAGGATCCACTTAATTAAGAGAAAGGTCTTCTTATGAACAATTCACCTAAAAAGCCCCAGCGAACACGTTTATTTTTTCTTAGCACACTCAAATTCCAAATCTGCTAGCTCAGCAAGGGAAAAGGACTACCCTTATTTCTGTCCCTCTACTCCCAGTTTACTGTCCCCAGAAAATTCTCCCTTGGAAGCAAAGCCATCTCATTCGCAACCTCATAATAGCAAAATCTGATCCTTAATTTCTCAATGTCACTGTCCCCAAACTGCAAGCTCTCCAGGGACACCCCAAGGCCAACGTTTATCTTAGTTTTGGCAAAAACACAACATCTCGCCCAGGGAAGTAAAAGGAGATGACAAATGCCGACCGCCCGCAGTCTGTTAAAACTCTGAGGAGGGCAAGCCAAAGTGCTCGCCGCGGCCCAGCACGTGAGCACTCAAAGCGGCCTCGAGGTTACCGCGGCCCCAGCAGCGGCCCGCTCACAGGTGGCCTCGACGGAGGGCCGGTTTCTAACTTCTAGAACTTTCCAGACTCTTCCCTTGGAATACTGCGACAGCTGGGGACGGTGAACTTAAATCCCAGAGAGCCTGGAGAGATCTACCCCACACCAAACCCCTCACTTCCAATTTCACACTTTAAAAGGGCGCGAGAAGTGTGCGCCCCGGCACGTCCCCGGTTTCTTCTGCAGCAGAAGCGAAGCGAGGGCTCACCCTGCAGGGGAACGGAGCCCCCGGGACGCCGGGCCATGTCCTCCGCGAGCCGGGAGCCGGCGAGCTGCAGCCCCAGCGCCCGCGCCGCGCCCGGCCTGCGCGCGTCACAGTCCCGGACCCGCTACGCCCCGCTGTCGCCCGGCCTCACGTGACAGCCCGGGGCGGGCGCGCCCCCCCACCCCCCGCCTACCTGAAGCCCCACGACGGCAGCAGGGCCTGGCTGAGGTGCGCGCGCAGCTGCCCCAGCGTCGGCTCCGCGTCTGGCATCTCCACCGGCCAGGTCCTCTTCTGCAGCCGGACCCGTAGCTTCATGGCGGCGGCGGTAGGGCCCGGAGGCCCGGAGGCGGTGGCGGCGACGGTGACGACGGCGCGGCGGCGGGCCCGGAGCGGCAACCACCGGAGCCGTAGGGGTGCCTAGGAGCAGCGGAGTGAAGGCCCCGCCACGGCCCCTGCCGGCCGGTCTCTGGAACTTGAGCGCCCCGCCCCTCTCTTGAGGGCGCCCCCTGGAGCCCACCCGGCGAGCGGGCGGCTGGCGGCCTGCGCCAACCCAGGCCGCTGGGCTTCATGCGATCGATGACTCGGCGCGCAACGGCGCCGCCTGGGAGCGGGAGGACCACAATGCGCAGGCGCCGAGACTGCCGGGGCGAGCGAGCTAGGCGATGGTAGCCGCTATTCTGCGGCCGGGCGGTGCCGACCCCTTCCGGGCGTGCGTGGAGAATGTTAGCGCCGAGAGAGAGGCTGCACAGTATGTGACTCGCCCCTCCGCAAGGCCCAGGCGTGCATGGTTCTTACCCCACTTCCTCCGTGGCGCCCAGCTCCAGCGGCAGGCATCTGTTCCGAGAAGCCTTAGGTTGAGCCCAGGCTCTGGTAGTTTCCTCGTGTTACTGCACAATATGAAACAGCTTTTAGTCCGTCACCTATATCAGAGGGTATAGTAGTAATCTGCTGCATAGCAGTCACCCCAAAGCTTAGCAGCTTAAAACAACGAACAGTTATTGTCCTGTAGATTCTGTACATCAGGAGTTTGGGCATGGAGTGGCTGGGTGGTTCTGTCTCGGTCTCTCGTGACATTGCAGTCAAGATGCAGGCCAAGGCTGCATTTGTCTGAAGTCTTGACTCAGGCTGGAAAACCTGCTTGCAGGATAAGCTCACTCACAGTTCCGTTGGCAGGAGGCCTGTTTTTCATGGCACGGACCTCTTGAGTGTCCCCAGGATATGGCATCTGGCTTCCCTCAGAACACGTGATCCCAGAGAGACCAAATCAGAAGCTACAATGTCTTTTGTGATGCAGCCTCGGAAGTCACACATCACTTCTGTCATTCTAACCAACCCGTCAGTGTGGGAGGATCAATCCAAAGGCATGAATACCAATAGACAGGGATCATCGGGACCCACGTGGGAGGCCCGCTACCCTTGAGGGTCTGACAGTGATGATGATGATGATACCTTGGAGAATCTTAAAATCTTATCTTTGTATGATAGCCGGTTGTCCAAACTATAATAAAAGAGTCAAATGAAGTTTCTTCCACTAGGTGGCAGTACTTGTCCACATCCTGACCTTCATGAAATAAGCACGTGTTGGACACCCGACTTTCTGACAGATACTATTCCAGGTGCTGGGGTCTCAGAGAACGGAAAAGGCATGTTCCTACCGGTGCAGAGTTAACAGCTGAGTGAGTCAATTCTTGTAGTAGAGCATAATAAGTGTTTTGTTTATGATAGAGATCAGAACAGTGCTGGGCACAGGGGTACCTAGAGAAGGGTTGTGCCAGTAGGGTTCTTGATTGGCAAGGAATATGAGATTGAGGAAGGTCCTGTGGCAGGACCAGGGTGGCTCAGGTCCTGAGAGAAAGACAGAAGATATGGTCAGAGAGAAAGACAGTGTGTACATCTCAGATAAAGAAGAGCCTTGAACTGAGCAAAGGATTTGGGACACATTCTAGAATGTTTGGGAAGTCAATGAAGAGTTTTAAGCAGAGGATTCTTTATCAGACGTTGCTTACTTCTGAGCAATAGAGACTAGCTTTGGCTAAGAAGAAAAGGAACATGTTTAAAAGGATTCTGGATAGCTCAGGGAATTTCGGGGAGGACTAAAGAAGTGGTTCCTGGATAATTCCAGAAATGGAACTCAACCACGCTGCAGAACTGCCCTGATGAGGAAACTGTCATGATTGGGATTGCTGCTGCTGCCCCACCCGGCCCCGGAGGAAACTGTCACCCTGACAGGAACCACTGTGGAATGGCTGCCACCTTCATATGCCACATGTTTTTGCAGCCTCCTGCACCAACAAAATGCCAGGCTTCCAAAAGAACCTGTTTCCTCACTTTGCTCACGTCTAAATCAAAGGCTCATAGGGATGCATCTGCTTGAGGGAGATCGAGTCCCATGTCTGAGTCCTGGCTACAAAGGAGAATGAGATTGGGAGTCTGAACTCCTTCCTTGGGAAGGCAAGACTTAAAATAATTGGAATTTCTGCCAGGTGTAGACAGGCCGTTCAAAAGATGATAGGAAGCCATGAGTCTGACAGGTGTACACCACAAGGGGCATAGGTCAGATCTGAAATGTGAATCTATCACTGGTCAAGTACAGGGGATACACCACAAGGGGCATAGGTCAGATCTGAAATGTGAATCTATCACTGGTCAAGTACAGGGGATATATATTAGATCAGAGTTCCTCAATCTTGGCACTGTTGACATTTGGGGCCTCGTAAGTCGTAGTTGTGGAGGACCATTCTGTGCCTTGTAAGATGTTCAGCAGCATCCCTGGTCTATCCACAAATGCTACTAGAAACCTCTCTCTCAGTTGTAGAGCAAAAGATGTCCTCAAACTTTGCCCCATGTTCCCCAGAAGGCAAAATTGTCTTGAATTTAGGGATCAGCTCAGTTAGGAGACTCTTTTAGTAACTGAAAGAAGAAAGCAATTAGTGGGATGACAGTAAGAATGTAGACGATGGGTGAGCAGGGATGATGTTACAGAGATAGACATATTTGGAGGCCTTATTGGTTAGGATACAGCTTCAGCTACCCTAACAGAGATCTGAATAGTAACCTAAAAAAGATAGAAGTCTGTTTCTCTCTGAGATACCATTCTTGGAGAAAACAGTGCAAGGCTAATATGGTGGCCATCTTTAAAGACCATCTACCACAGTCCACCTCTCAGTACTGTGTAACCCTGGATAAGTTACTACCTATAAAAATGAAAATAGTAACAAGAGTGTATCAGACAGCCATGTTGTAAAGGTTAAGTGAGAGAATACCTTTGGTTCTGTCTTGTTTTAAGCCACTACATTTGCGACCATTTGTTAAAACAACGGAAAACTAATCTACCTGGAATCCTTGTCTCAATCCTTTGCCCAGTAGGGTGCAACCACCGGCATGGCAGAAGTAATCCAATCACAGGGATTTAGCAGGGTCCTGGAAGAGAACCAGAGCATCTCCAAGGCACTGCCAAGATCTAAGGTACTCTAGAGGATGATCATCCAAAACCTCAAAGATCCATGACAATGATCTCTCAACTATTTCTCTCCTTGAGAATTTTTTTTTTTCTCTTACAGATCCCACTTTAATGTCTGCAAGCAACAGTTACTGCAACTTTCAAAGAGTTCAGAAATGTAAATTTCTTTTTTTTTTAATGAGCCATTCCATAGAATACTACAAAGGGATAATGTCAGTCTTCTGTGGGAATACACTGGCTCACAAGGCTTCCTTTTTTTTTTTTTTAATGTTATATTTAAAATGGTTTTAGGTTTGTGGAATGATTCTGAAGACTTATATACCACATACTCAATTTTCCCTATTAGTAACCTCTTAATGTTTATTTATTTTTGAGAGAGAGAGCACAGTGTGCAGGGGAGGGGCAAAGAGAAAAGAGAGACAGGGGATCCAAAGCAGGCTCTGTGCTGACAGCAGAGAGCTTGATGTGGGACTCAAACTCATGAACGAACCATGAGATCATGACCTTAACCAACTGAGCCACCCAGATGCCCGGTTGATGCATTTGTATTAACCAAAGTCTATACTTTATTCAGATTCTCTCTGTTTTTTCCTAATCTCCTTTTTCTGTTCCAGGATCCCACCTAGGAGACCACATTACACCTAGTCATCATGTCTCCTTGGGCTTCTCTTGGCTGTGACAGTTTCTTAGACTTCCTTTTTTTCTTTTCTTTTTAAATGACCTTAACCGTTTTAAGAATTACTGGTCAGGTATTTTGTAGAACATCCTTCAATTTGTCTGATATTTTCTCATGATTAGACTGAGGTAACGTGCTCCTGGGAGGTAGACCGCAGAAGTCCAGGTTCCATTCTCATGTCAACAGTGCATACTGTCAATATGACTTCTCACTGTTGATGTTAACCCAGATCACTCGGCTTCTCCACTGTAAAGTTACTAGTTTTTTCTCCTTTTTATATTGTATCCTTTGGAAGAAAGTCACTATGTGCAGCCCACACTTAGAGTGGGAGTTATGCCCTACCTCCTTAGGGGTGGAGTGTGTACATAAATTATTTGAATTTCCTCTATACAGGAGATTTGTTCTGTTTTCTATTTATTCAGTCCTTTATTTATATCAGCGTGGAGTTACATTTCTTTTTTTCTTTGGCTTATAATCTAATACTACTTCATTTATTTTTTTTGCTCAAATTGTTCCGGCTTTGACCACTGGGACATCTTTCAGTTGGCTACTGTATCCATTTGATATCACTGTGGATTTTTGTTCACTTGTTCTGTGTTTTCTTTTTTTTCTGGTTTTGAGCACTTTTTTATTTTCTGTTACTATAAGATGCTTTAGGACAATTTTGTATCCATCCTGCCCCAACCTTAGAATCAGCCATTTTTCCACGGTGCCCCAGTTCCTTTTACTGAAGAGTGGTATTAGAAACCAATATCTGGGGGGCGCCTGGGTGGCTCAGTCAGTTGAGTGTCTGACTTCAGCTCAGGTCACGATCTCACTGTTGTGAGTTTAAGCCCCACATCAGGCTCTGTGCTGACAGCTGGGAGCCTGGAGCCTGTTTCAGGTTTTGTGTGTATGTGGGTTCCTCTCTCTTTGTCTCTCCTCATCCATATATACATACATATACAAGGCTTTCTCTCTCTCTCTCTCTCTCTCTCTCTCGCCTCTCTTCACAAAATAACATTATATGCCTGGTGGCGTGAGGTCGGTTAAGCTGCCCACTTCAGCTAGGTCACGATTCAAGGGTCCATGAGTTCGAGCCCAGATCAGGCTCTTTTCCTCTATTGATGGCTCAGAGCCTGTTTCCCATTCTCTGTGTCTCCCCTCTTCTCTGGGTTCTCCTCTGCTCATGCTCTTGTC